CTGCTGTTGGCTGTGAGTTCAGTGTTAATGAACAATACAATGCACTGGAAAAAGAAAGATAAAATTTGATGAGTATTAGGTGAAGTTACATTGCAAAGTAACACCAATAATGCTATGATAATGCTAAGACAAACAACAAAATTTGGGGTTTCTTGAAATGACAACTGATATTTTTATATATGGTAGACAGCATTCTTGGAAAGTTAAAAGCCAAGAAAATTTGTGATCACATTATTCAGGGTCAGGAAATTGTTAAACACTTCTCAGAAACTGTTTTGTTCAAAGAAATATGGCATACAATGAATTACTTGTAAATATATATTAAATAAGATTTTTAAACAAAATACACAAAACAAGGTTATGTATTCATCAGGTAGCAAAAAATACTGTGAACAGAAACACAAATGTACCTAGCCCTCTATTTACCCTGGGAGCATGGCTCAGTGTTCACTAACAGTGTTTGCAGCAGCAACTGTAGAAAATATAACTCCTGAGAATGCACATCACCCACCTGGACCTATTTCAGTCCTCAAGAGCAGCACTTTGGCTCCTCATTTTTGATTCCCTCCTCAGTGATGCACTTGGGCCGTTTTTCAGGTATCACCACAATGATGTGCCTCTCAACCTTTAATGTATCTATGAATCTTCTGATGAGTTTGTTCAAATGAAAACTGGAATTCAGTAAGTCTGAGACCAGGCCACAGAGTCTACATTTCTAACCAACTCCCATGTAACGAATCTGCTGTTTGACCATAAACCACAATGAATATGGAGGACCTTCATCCTTTCCTGCTTTTTTGATTTAAAGCATGGAACAATGGTTATATGCTAATATTTCCCTAAAATTGAATAACAGAATTGGTAAGAGGCAAAACTGTGTTTCTCCTCAGAGAATCAGAAAAAAATATAAAACTAGGAAAACATGAAGTCTCCTGGAAGAGCAAGAAGAAACGAGAATATCTCAACTACAACAAAGGTATGAGGAAGACAGACAATTTACAAATAAATAAACAAACAAAAAACAAACCTATGTAATCCAACACAAGTTTTATTGAGAACATGTTATATTCAGGCAAGGCATTTCACCAGGGATACAGATACTCAAAAAATAAGTACTTTGCTCTCAAACTTTTAAAAACTTAAAATAAATGAACCTACACACCTACCATGGATGCTAGGCAGTGAGGGGTACAGTTGAAATCTGGGGAAGCACAACTGGAGGAGAGATGGCTTCCCACTGTGGATCAAGAAAGGATCCTTGGAGGATGTGACATCTGAAATGCATCTGATGATCCATTTTATCTAACCAGGCTGACACTACTGACATCCTGTTCCATTCAGAGTTGAAGCCACAGAAGCCAGGTCAGAACAATAAATCCTGCAAGATTACATTGAGCATATATTGGTAAATGATCATGGAGCAGAAATGAATGGAAAGTTTTAACAAGGAGAGTTGAAGTGATGTCATCACCCTGTGGAGTTCAGGTGTAGACTGGGCACCTGCATAGCTGGGTCCTCACTTCAGAGGGCCAGAAATGCTGGGAGCTTCACAGTGAGTCCTAAGTGAACAAAAAATAACAGACCTTCATAAAGTGGAGGTGAGAATGGAGGAGAAAATAGAAATGGGGCTGAGAGGAGAAGAAAAAGTGAAAAAAAAAAGATTAAAAAGAAGAGAAGACTATTGGGAGGAGGGACAAACAGGAAAGATGGATACAAAGAACTCACCAGTGTTTCCTAAACCAAAATCCAAGACCTGTCAGAAGAGCCAGGGCCACTATCATAGCCAAGAGGATCCAGCCCAGGGCACTAGGAGGTGCTGCAGATTCAAGTAGACACTAGGATGATGTTTCAATCTGCATCTATAGAGCCCTTATTTTAAATTAAACCATTCTTTGAATCACATATTTTTCTTCTTTTTGGGTTTGGAATTTGTAAATCCCAGTTTCTTTACCTGGTTCTCATGCTCTGCTAGAAGATATCCCCCCATCTCCAGCCTGGGTCCCACTCTTACCACCCCAGTAGAGGACGAGGTCCTGCCCTCCTAGGCTGCTGTGCTTCACCCTGCAGGCCAGGCCAGCCGCCTCCCCAGCTGCCACATCCAGGGTTGCTTGGAGATACCACGTGCCATCAGCATTGGGCAGGATGTCACCTCTCTGAGTGCCCTGCTGCTCCTGTTCCCCTTGCATCCACATCACCCACACGGGCTTTGGGTAGAAGCCAGACACATGGCATACCAGCAGCAGACGGCCAGGCCCAGGACTGGGGCCACTGGACAGCCAGGCCTCAGGCTTCACTGCAAACACCAGAAAGGACATCCAGACACAGACTCTAATGTGAATAGAGATTTAGAACTCCCCATAAGTCTACAGAGACACATATTTCCCACTCTGGAAATGTCACACATTATCCTTTTCTCTTTTTATCCTAAATTTGACTTTAAAATTGAAAAATTCTTGCAGATTGGGTACAAGACTGACCTTGTCGCTGGAGATGAGCCTTCCCTGCATCTAGAAGACCCAAGGTGAAACGCGGGCAGGTGTTACTGAGGAGCCTATGTAACCTGTGTGTGAAGGCTTCATTCAAATTGAGTAGATTGCAGGCTTCCTGGGCCTTTCTTCCATTCATGGGAGAGGATAAACATGTTTCATTCTGGAAGCTTATGAAATAATATCCTTGAATAGCTACCTGCATGAAGCCTAGGAAGCCCTTCCCAGAGTGCACTTCACAGCCTGCTGTCACCTGCAGATCAAAGGTATCTGGGGAAGCAGAGAAGAAAAGAGAGAAAATGGAATGATCGGAAGCAAAAGACAGTAAAAGAAAAAGGGAGTTTTTGGAGTTTAAGAGAAAAGACTCAAGTGTGGTTTGTCAGAGGTTCACAGAAAGGCCACTGGGTAGGAGCTGGAGGTGGAGGACAAAATGACGATATCAGGAGGGGAGGGAATTGTTTGAAAGTGATCGTAATGGTGTGGGGGAGAAAGGCCTCAATGTGAGAGAGCTGAGACTCTAACAAACCTGGGAGAATGTATCCATGGTTACTCTGACAGTTTACACAAGGATGACTGAAGAGATTAAATGGGAGAGAAAATCACCCTTTAAGGAGTCAACCAATGAGTGAGGAAGCTGAAGGTACCTGACTGAAGACTGGGGAAAAGGGTGGCCACAGGCTGCCTCTGAGGACAGTTAGTAAAACTCAGCCCTGCAGCCAATGGGAGAGCATTCGAAAGTGGCAAAAACTGAAGTCTTGGAAGAATCTGGTTGTTTATCGCAAGTGCCCAGGGTGTGATTGCAGTTTTATACTGAAGAGAGTGGAGTAAGATTCAGAGCAGAGTAGGCTGTTTCCCTAAGGAATAAAAGTTCACTGAGATGCCCCACCCTCATCCTTTTATTCTCCCTAACAGGGGAAGTGAACGCACCTTTAAACATTAATTGAAAAATGTAAAATTCCTGATGTTCACTGAAATATTTCTGGAACAACCTTTCCAGATCCATCAATTCCTTGTTACTGAAGTTGCCCCTGGACCAGGGATACAGGTAAATGATGGCACCAGACCTGATGTTCCATCTGTGAGTCTGCAGCTCCCCCAACCAGCCTGAGCCCAGGTGTACCCAGGAATAATTGCGAAATGATGTTGTCTGGATGACATGAAAGGAGACAGGCTTCTCAAACCCTGTAGCAAAAGAATAGATAGAATAGGCAGAAATGAAACATTGGAAGGAAAAGACTTGGGAAAGTAGGTGCCCTGGTAGGAAGACTCAGAATCTGGAAAAGTGGAGAGCCACCGTTACCTTAGCTGACATCTGCTGGCCCCCAGGGTCCCATGCTCCACCAACAGCCTCCAAGAGAGCACAGAGGGCTTGAGTAAGGACATGCAGAATGGGGCCAGCTTGGCCCTCGTTCTCTCCAGATGTGTGCAGGGGAAACTACCATCACCACACACACACACACACACACACACACCCATCTGGTCAGTTGCCTCAGTTCTTACCACTGTCACCTCCTGGGAAGAGAGCAGCGAGCAAGGGGAGTAGCAGGAACAGCATGGCCCTTGCAGCTGCTACTTCTTTCTCTGAGAGAAGTTAGCCTTTGATTTCTGTTCTACATAAGTCTACCCCTGTTGGAATAACTTTCAGTTTACAGCTAGCAGCTAGCAGCTATGAGCAGCTCAGAGTGCTTGAAGAATCTACACTCATTCAGGCCTGATAGGAACACCTGCAGGATGGGATGCTCTGCTCTAGCAAGCTGTTAGTGAAACCACATCCTTAGCACTTGTGGTTAGCATTGCCAAGTTGCCAGGCCAGGAGACTTACAGCCAGGAGCTTTGACATGGAACTCCTAAGAGAATCTCCTCCCATAGGGACAGAGACCCTTCCTGATGATAGCAATATTTAGAGCATCCTCATAATGTGGTTACATTAGGCATAAGATGATTGGCTTATGGATACTATCTTGCTCATGTATTGATGGGCATGCCCCACTCCAACCCTATAACAATTGTATGCATTTCAAAAATAAATGAGGTACTGGATGATGACCTGAGGCGGGTCTCCAGCCAGTTCTCTCAACAGATCCCAGAGTGTGTGTGTGTTGCTTCCACAGTCTAACACCCTTCCTCCCCCACCCCCTGCAACAAAGTAGCTGAGCAACTAATTTTTTTTAACTTGATGTTTTATAAATCTTTATTTTATTTTATTTTCATGTGATGCTGAGGATCGAGCAACTAATTGACCAGAACCATAGCAGATTTCTGTTCTAAATAAACCTACCCCAGAGACCTCTCTTCTGACCTCCTTATTCAACCAAAACACAAAACTTTTCTGCGTGAAACAAAGACAATCTGCTCCCTCCCAAAACCCTGAGCACCTACTCAGTTTCCCCTTTCCCCAGCTATTCTGACTCCCTGCTCAGTCTTCCAACTTCTCTCATTGTCACAAACTTTCATCCAGTTCATCTTCCCCTATTTCAACTGCTACAGAACAAGTCTTCTGTGACATTAAAAAAAATACTTTACAACAAGGGTCACTTCTTTTATTGCTAGGTATGGAAACCCAGGATCTTGAGCATTTTCTCTTATTGTAATAACTTTGAATTATTCCCCCATGTGCTCTCTTCCCCCATGCGTTTCCATGTCCCCACCCCATCCCCCACTCCACCTCATTCATATCTCTGACATCACCACTTACTTTATTTCCTTTTTCAGAAGCCCCTATGATTGTCCTCTGAAACACAGTGTCACCTACTGAGTCTATGGATCATGTACCCAGGACTGGCTCTGTGAGGCATGGAGCCACTCCAGAAATGCACTCAAAATTCCATGATTAGCACCTTGAGTTTCATAGTAATTTTATCGAATTTGTGTTTCATAAGTGAAGTTCAATGAAACTTGCATGAGCGCTCACAGCTGCCTCCCCAGCTTATGAAGGGTTCTTCCCCCCACAACCTCACCTGCATGCTCAGCACTATTCCACCTGCTTCCCATTCTCTGAGGCCTTGGCAACTCTGCAATCTGCCTCTCCACCTCCAACCTGCCACCACTGCACTGACCATGTCATCAGCCCCTGTCATTATCTCATGTCTTGCAGGAACAAAGGAGAATGGGACATACACCCAATAGTGTGTGGGCCAAATATAGGTGCAGCTGTCCCATCCAATGTCTGTACCAAGTTGCTTTGTAACTGGTCACAGTGAGCCTCTTGCCCACTCTTATTCCAAGAACCACATGCATCTCCACAAAATTTGGTTTCAATTTCTCAGTGGTTACCCATGTGCCAAGTGTTGGAGTAACCATTGAGGAAAGAGAGATTAACTTCCTCCTTCTTATTCAGTCCAGCAAAGGCAAAGATCATTCAAATATCTAGGGCAACAGGAACCAGGCAACCAGTGCGTGGCTTGCATGAAGTCATGGAGTGGAATCCCCAGGTGCCTAAGAGTTCCTACAATCATCCTGTGAGTATCCCTGTACCCAAGGGTTGCAACATTAGGAAGCTAAATAAAAGCTTAGAGACATAAGCTTCCATAGAAATAAAACAGTTTTGTATGTTATTATGTTTAAGAGCACACCCTGGAAGAGTATTTTGAACACAAACCTGCTATGACCTGAGTCTGTATGTCTTCCGTAAATTCATATACTGAAATCCTAACCACCCATGTGATGATATTAGCAGGTGAGACCTTTGATGAGTGATAAGGTCATGTTGTTCCACCCCTCAGAAATGAGATCAGTGCCTTATTTATACAAGGGACCCCAGAGAGATTGAATAACCCTTCCACCATATGTAGACATTCAGAAAGTGCCTTTGATGAATTAAAATTTAGGTCCAACTACAAACCAAATATACCTTGATCTTGAACTGTCCAGACTCCAGAAATGTGAAAAATAAATTTTTAGTGGTTATAAATTGCCCAGTCTATGGCATGCTCTAATAGCAGCTAAAATGGCTAAGAAAAGGCTTCACATTTTCATTTTTGCCTGGATCGCACAAAATATATGACTGCTGCTCTTGAGTGTGGGGTGTGGAAAGCAAGAAGAAGATAGTTGGTTTTTTTGTAGGAAAGAGAGGGAAGGAAATTAAATAAATAATGAATGAGATTTTAGGACCAAAATGATGTGAACTGATAAGAGAAACTGAAGATATAATAATGCAGGAAAAGGAGAAAGAGGGGTAGGTTCTTCGAGAGTGTTTTTCCTTCTGTAAGCAAAGGATCTGACCAGAACAATTTTAAGAAGGAAAAGTTTATTTTGGGTCTCACAGTTCTTCATCCATAGATGGCCAACTTCACTTCCCATGGGCCAAGGTGAGGCAGGACCTCATGACAGAACAGTGAGGTAGAGGAAGGCAGGTCTGAACATGGCCAGCAAGAAGAAAAAGGAGAGAGAGCTTCACTCATGGAGGACAAAATATATACCCCAAAGCCATGCTCCCAGGAATCCACCTCCCCAGCTACACATACCAGCCCACAGCTACCACTCAATAAGTTCCTATCTGGGGATTTATGTGCTGATTGGGTTAAGGCTCTCAAGACCCTGTCATTTTGCCTCCAACCCTTCTTGCACTGTCTCACACATGAGCATTTGGGGGACACCTCATACCTAAACCATAACAAGGGAAGTATAAAGGGAGGGGAAGAAGAATTCAAAGTTTCTTTCCCCCTGACTGTCCCCTGGCAGAGTGGCTCCTGATGAGGATGCAGGTAGCAGCTGGTGCTTGGGTCAGAGTCCCACTGAGGATCTCCCCAGTCCACTGCACCCCTGAGTGAGCTCTTAGCTGTGGAGGGGGAAAGACAAGGTCTGACGAGGAGAGAGGAAAGGATAGAGACCATTGGGAGCTGCCTGGAGGATGCTGAGAGCTGGGGGAGCTGAGAGAGAGCAACACTGTAGGAGAAAGTCAGAAGACAAAATAGGTGGGAAGTGACCAGAATGAGAGAAAAAGAGAACATCTTTGACAGAGGAGATGGTTATGCGGATCACTGATAGTTTGTGCTCCCTGGTGACAGGAAAACATCACTGAGAATGATGTATGCCAAACAGAACTCAGCAAGGTGGGGTTTTCACCTATCCCAGGGCCATCCAGGACTCTCCCCTTTGCCACAAACCCATCCCTCAGGAGTCTTCTTATTGAATCAATATGGAACAACATGCTTATGTTCTTCCTAAAATGTCTAATTATTGCTCCCCTGCACCACATTACAACTCTTGATTTTCTCCTTCCCCCCACACACAGCTTTCCTCACACCCAGACGTGAACTCCCCTCCCCCCACAATCTCACTCTGCCATCTGTCTGCTCCCACCTCACCAACACCAATCTCAGCTTCCCTCCTGAGAAACCCATGGCCTGTCACCCTTCCTGCCTGTAATGGGCTTCTCCTTTCCCTTCCCACACTTCCTCAAGTTTCTCTCTTGCCCTTCTGAATTTCCTGCATAGGGCATGTGTTTTTTTCTTTTTTTCCCCTTTAACAGCAAATTTCTTGCAGTGAAAGGACATTCAGCCTGAACTTCATGGGGATCTCCTGAAGGGGACACCTGCATTGAATTACCCT